CTGAGATTACAGGCATGTCCCACCATGCCCAGCCTGAGGAGCTAACTCTTCCAAAAACACTAGAAATTCAAGACCTTGGCTGACTCTAGAACGGGAGGCAGTCAGTCTATGGAGCTGCGATCAGTTCTTGGGTCCACAGTAGACTACTGACTGCCTGTTATTCATGCCATACATTTTTGCTTATATACTGTGCATTACAGAGTATGGGGTTTTCTTTTCTTTTTTTTTTTTTTAAACTGGATTCATTTAGGCCTGAGGATATAGGTTAGTGGTAAAGTGCCTGCCTAGCACATGGAGGAAGGCCTTGGGTTCCACAGCCAAGTTTTTTTCTTTTCAAGACAGGGTTTCCTCTATGTAACAGCCTTGGCTGTCCTGGAACTCACTCTCTAGACAAGGCTGGCCTTGAACTCACAGAGATCCGCCTGTCTCTGCCTCTCAAGTGCTGGGACTAAAGGCATGCGCCACCACCGCCAGGCTAACACCTATTTTTAAACAAGGTACACGTAGATCTAAGCATCAACAAGTTACTCAGAGAAGCAGGACGGAGGTGGGGAAGGAGGGGAATAATGGGTGGTTTCTGCTTTTTGTTTGTTCTGGTGTCATAAGTTCATTTCAGTAAGAAATGTTTCTAAAATAAATAAAGCAATATGGCACGGAATTCACTTCCCGGTCTCTCGAGTCAACTCCGCAATGCCATCCCTGGAGGACATACAGCAAGTTACGGAACAGGCACGGTAACAGTGTCCACTCCAGGGACCCCCATGAAGAAAGTACTTGTGGTGGCTTCACTGCACAGGTGACACCCTCTGTGAGACTGGCTACTTCATGACCTGATGTCTGACGTGGTTTGTTATCTAATGGAAGACTTAAGCAACAGGCCAAGACCTGCAGATGGCCCTGCAGTTCACTCCCAGGCAGGTTCACAACCCTGGTCCTCACAAGCATCCTAGGAACTTATTCAGTCATTGATAAATGAATGTCTGCTGCCTCGGTTTATGTAACCACTGCTGTGACTGTCTGAACAAACCACTTGTATAGGACCCTACCTAACATGTATGTCTGCTTCTTTCCTGATTGATCCTTTGCTCAGAATAACAATACAGCCTATAAAATTACATTTCCCAGACTTCCTTGCAGCAGAGGGTGATCATGTCGTTAAGCTGTATCTGAAATGACACAAGTGGAAGCCAACTAAGGATTTCAGGAGAGGCTCTGTTCCTGTAGCTGCTTCTCCTTCCTTGGCTTTGCTTCTTCCTAGGAGGAGGAGGGGGGCCTGCAGGCACAGCAGGTGTGGCCTGAGAATAAGGCTGAAGATGGCAAAGCGGATGGAACCCTACTCTCTTCCAGTGAGGAAATACACGCTGTGGTAGCAATCAGTGTTCACAGAACTCAATTCTTATCCTTCCTCCCTTCCTCCCTTCCTTCCTTTTCAAGACAGAGTTTCTCTGTGCAGCCCTGGCTGTCCTGGAACTCACAGCGATCCGCTTGCCTCTGCCTCCCGAGTGAGAACTCAATTCTTGCATCACCCCTCCTTTCACGAGTCTGTGCAGATGCAATGATTTACTTTTCCAGCAGAGGAAAGGAGGAGAGACAGGAGCTAGCTCTCGCCCTAAGCCAGAAGCCCTAAGGAGCCAAAGGCAGAGTCAGTGCTGCACACCTGTGACTTGGGGGTGGACGGTGAGTTTGAGGTCAGCCAAAGCTAGATAGCAAGACTCTGTCCCCAACAAATACAAACAAGCAGACAACAAAAGAAGAGGCCGCTGTCGTACAAGTCTGGCTGACTACAGAAGAAAAGGTCCTGAGGCCACACAGAAAGATGGACATCCCAGGGGCCATTTGAAGGAAAGCCATCTGGAATAGTCCAGCCCCACGCACCCCTTCCTTGCAGCCACAGCAGGGCTCACTGAAGAGGCACCCCACCCAGCTGAGCCTCAGCCAGCCACAGATGCATGAGAAATAATGCTGTGCTGCCATCTGAAGACACTCACGGTTTGGGGAATGTCTTACTGGGCAGCAGTAGTTCATCAGAATGCATCAAGTTTCACAGTGACAAACATTCCCAAACCAAAGTGCTCTCTAACACTGAAGTGTCCCAACAGATAGCTCTTCCGTATTCTGATTTCTAACACAGACTGGTGATAGGGAGGAACACGCCCCCCCCCCCCTCTGACTGTGTCGTAAGTACCCATCAGGCACAACTAATCGGCATAAGGATGACGTGTCTATTAATCATCTCTATAATTAAAAAGCATTTAGAGTAGGTGGCTCATCACTGAGCTGGGCCTGGTGAGAACCCTCAGAAAATACCCCTTCTGTCTTGACAAGGGGCATTATCATGCTTCCTGTTCATTCTCAAAGGCCTGCAGAGCTGAAGGTAGCTATGCGGGTCTGACACCTGTGAGATAATTAAAGAAGGCCATCCATTACAAAAGTAACTTTGGAGAAAAAAGTCAGAAACAAAAAGAAAGTACATCAGTAACATCCAGACAAATAAATTATGGCACACCCACAGTGTGTGTCTTGAGACATTAAAAAAGTGCATTTGGAGTGGCCACATGGCTCAGTGGTGGAATTCTTGCCTAGAATCCCCCAGTGAGGGGCTGAGGATCTCAGTGAGTAGAACACCAGCCTAGAATCCCCCAGTGAGGGGGTGCCTCAGTAGTACAGGAGTTGCTAGGATAAAAATAATTTTTTTTCAGATTTTTATTTAATGTATGTGAGTGTTTTGTCTGCAAATATATATGTGTACCATGTGTGTGCTTGGTGCCCACAAAGGCTGGAAGAGGGCATCAGATACCCTGGAGTTAAGAGTGGTTATGAGCCACAATGTGGCTGCTGGGAACCAACCCCAGGTCCTCTGCAAGACCAGCCAGTGCTCTTAACCACTAAGCCGTCTCTCCAGCCCTATTTATTTATTTATTTATTTATTTATTTATTTATTTATTTATGGGAAACAAATTGGAGGAATACTGGAGGATTTGGAAATATTTCCAGATAGTACTGCTGTGTGTGAAAGCAAAATGCAGGAAAATAAGGGCTGTACTCTCCCTAACAGAATAATACTGTTTCTTATAGCATGACATGGCCATGGAGAAAGTACCTATAGCTTGGGAAAGTACCTATGGTACTTACTGCCGGCAGCAGTGACGGATGTAAGAAGATGCTGATGTGGGAGGGTGCTGACTTGCAGCATAGTGAAGGGGTGGGGGTGGGAGGGACGAGAGCCCACCAAAACAGGGGCCAGACACAAAAGCCTCAGAAAGAACCTGAAGTCAGCTCATAAATGCGTAGCATCCCCATTGTCTTCACAAGTCTTCTGGCACAGCAGATGTCACCTGAACTCTCTTGAACGTCTCACTTACACAGATGCTATCAATTAGCACCATCTCCCAGAAAAGGCCCACAGTTCAAGCAGTGCTGGGACTCGAGCATGACAAGAAATGGCTTTTCCTCAACTTATCCCCAAATGATGCTCCTTGGAGCTCCTGGGGAAAGGGACCTGTAGCCACAGCAGCCCTCACACGGCCACAGGCTCTGGAGGGTAAGGGCACATGACTGTCATAGGGCAACACAGGGCCAATGAGGTGCCTCAAAGCCACGGGCTGCTGGGAGAAAGCAGAGAGGGCCACTGACCTTGCTCCCTGGAGAACTCTGGGAAGCCTGCCTGAGATATTTTTACGGCATCGATTGCTGCTATCCGAAGCCAGAGCCAGAACCTGTGTCAGTTCTGACACAGTCAGACTCCTAGAACTCACCGTTTAATTCAAACCTGCTCAGCACAAAGCAAGACTTATTGCCTATTAAAGCAGAGAGAGTGTGTGTGTGATAAACAGAGGCTGGCTGGATCACTCTTATTTCCCCTGCCTTCCTGCCACAGAAACCTGGAGATGTCTTTCCACATACACAGCAGATATGCACATGGGGCTCCCACAAATCCTCTTGCTGAAATCACCCTGTGTTCGCTAACTTGCTAGTGCCACACCTCCTCTTTCATGTCACGTGCCCAAAAGGCCCAGATGAGCCACTGCTAGGTCCCAGGCTGCAAGTCTGAGGGGCTGAGGGCCAGGAAGCCAGCAGCTGGAGGCTGCGGACAGACCCCAAGAATGGCTGCCTGACCACAGAGAGACAGGTGCACAGGCCACTCCAACCACTGCTGTGTGGCTTCTTAGAAATGCTGGTACTCTAGCAAAGCCCAAGTGAGTGCAGCTAGACACGCACCCTCCCACAGGGAGACACCTAGTAGCACAGATTCATTCATAACATAACATAAGCGGGCACCTTCCACATGCCAGGCCCTGTTCTACAAGGATCAAGGGCCTGTACTCTCAGAAGCAACAATGGAGTAGGAGGCTCCCTAGGGACTGAGGAAGGCACCTAAGGAAGGGGACATCTGAGCATCTGAGTAGAGACTGGAGGGAGACGGCTTTGGAGGTAGGGCTCTGAGCTGGCTGCATGTCCCTGGGGTGCTGGGAGGGGAGCAGGTGGACATGCCACCTCAACTACACGCACAGGTTCCTAGGAGAGACACAGCCAGGGTGAGGCGAGAACAGGCAAGAGCAACCCCGCCCCCACAAGCTGGAGTATACCAGGTGACACAGGCACCAGAGTCAGAGGAGCTGGGGACACCTCAAAGACAACTCAGTGGGTCCTACTGCTATTTCCTAGGTCCTGAAAAAAAAAGGAAACTGAGTCCCAGGGAGGGAGACTACAAAGCATGTCTATGTCAAAGCATGTCTATGTCAGGCACACAGCTCAGGCTCAGCTAGAGTCACCTCCTCTTTTCCTTTGAGTCCTGGTCTCCATTTTCTTCTCGCTTCCTCAACACTCGGCCTACTCTTTCTTCGGTGTTAGAAACAGAAAGGTAAACATTTCATTGGAGAAGAGGGGGGGAAGGCGAAAGTTAAATAAAAGAGCCAGCGTCTAATTCCCACAAAGAAGAAACACATTGTTAACTTTCTCCAGGAGGGGCTACTAAAGTTAGGAGACACTTGTTCACCTACCAGGAGTCCTGGAACACAGCCCTGATCACAATGCCGGCTGGTGGCTGGTGGCTGGTGGCTACTAGGTTGGACCCAGGTGTGGCTTCTGTCCCTGGTTTTCCCTAGGCACGGGCCACCTGCCCCAGCTCCCTAGGCTGACCCAGGGTGGTGCCTCCTCTGGCGCTGTGGGTGTTTGGAATGCGGAAACGGGAACCAGCCGTGCCAGCTTCTAACAGAGACTTAAAACTTATTCAGCGGCCTCGAGGCCACACCAGCTACCGGAGTTCCCCTAGAGATGGCTCTCTGCACACAGGCACATTCCCAGAGAGGCTGTTTTGCCAATATTCCCTTTGGGGAAGGGAAATAAAAGGATCCCTTACTCATCAGACACGTGGTCATGGGTCTGAATGAGTTGGGGAGAAAGAGCAGAGGTAACAAAGCTTGACTGTTACCTCCCATTCAGGAACAGGCCACCTGTTCAGTGCTGAGCCGGGGCTGGATCCGTGCCACAGCATCCCCCGTCCTGCGCCCGGCAGCTTCATTCATAGCCTGCCCAGCCACAGGTGGGCCCCTCACCGTGCTAGCTGCAGAGGCTGCATGCGGGCTTAATGATTAAACCTTGTGGCGAGACTCTCCAGCCAGCTTTGGAAGCACAGCTGGGGGGCGGGGGGAGTGCCGCTCTAAACATTGCAACCTATCCAGAGCCCCACAGGCAACCCCTATGTCAGAGCCACCATCATGCCTGTCACAGGATGGAGGTCACACAACAAGAGGTGATTACCCAAGCAAAGCAGGTTCCAGCTTTTGACCACTGTGCTAATCTGCCCCTGGAAAGAGCCGCGGCCACCTTGGGTTAGTGACAGCAGGCAGTGAGATCACAGCTCTGGCCCATTAAAATGCTCAATAACAAATGGGGTACAGTAGTTTATGACTATAATCTCAGCATTGGAAGAGGGGGGTAGGAGCAGGTCAAGGCCATTCACAGCTACATAAGCACGTTCAAGACTAGCCTGAGCTATATGAAACTGTCTCAAAAAAAAAAAAAAAAAAAACCAACCAAACAGTTCAAAAACCCTCAGCTGTGTTATTACAAGCTGCTCACACCTGAGCCTTCAAAATGGAAAACAACTGGCTCACACTTATGGAGCTTAACCTCTGGCCATCTGGTGGAAATATATAAAGACTATTGCTAGGTGTGATGGCACCTGCCTGTAATCTCAGCATTTGGGAGGCTGAGGCAAGAGGAATTGCTCTGAGCTCAAGCTCAGACTGGTCTACAGCATTAGACACTGTCACAGCAAACCAAAATTAAAAGGCAAGACTCTTGCTACAGTCTTCATCAAACAAATTGGAGTATGCATTCTGAACCAGACACTGTGGTAAACAAGAACCATGCTGCTCTTGCATGCAGGGGACTTTCAGTCACCTGAGAATAAACTGGCAAAAACAAAAACAAAAAACAAAAAACAAACAAACAAAAAAACCCCTGCAACCAACAGATCCACGCCCATGGGGCATGTTGAACATGTCACAGGATTTCACAAACCTCAATCCCTCCAATTTAGGAGGATGGATCGTTCCCGGCTCCACCTTACAGAAACAGAAACGGACACTGTGGGGCCCGGGGGCTTGCCCAAGATCAATAGGGGGCCAAGGAGGACCCAGGATTTGCTCACAGGCTGGGCTACATTCCTCAGCCTTGCTGCTGTCTCTCAGGGCAACCGCTGTCCACAGGCAGGTAGTCACAGTCTACAAAAGGAGTATCGCTCTCAGAGATGGTTGGGGATGGGATGTCAGAGCTCACAACCTTGAGCTGGCCACTGGCAATCTGCACTTCACCTGCATGTCTCCTCTCATTCATGCACCAGCCCTCCAGGGCCCTCAGAGATGAGCCTCTGTGAGAAAGAAGCATCTCAGTCAGAAGTGGGGGGGGGGGTGCAGGGGAGGAGCAGAGTGAGCTCTCAAAAAGCATGCACACTCACCTCCAGTGTTGCTGCCCAACTTGAGTGTCCCTAAATTTTCAGACAAAAATGTTTGGTAGCCAACACAATTCAGGGCTCCTTGGGGATAGGGACTGTGCACAGGTTTTCAAGGGGACATGATTAAAGAGCCTGCAGCTAAGTCAATGAGGTTATTAGGAATCTCATAAGGGAAACAAGAACAGGAACATGCTTGATGCCGTGTCCTAATCTTCCACCGTTTCTACAGCCAATCCACTCACTGTCTCTTCCTGAGCAGTGCTCTGACTCTATCCCCACAGCCACGCCCCCAACCCAAAGGAATGAACCCTGATTGGCCCTGGCCTCTGATTTGTCCAGGCAGGGTTATGTGTTAGGTTATTTGTCACAACGCTATCCCAGGAGACCTGAGAGGAATCAGGAGGTGGGGCATAAATTAAAGGTTCCTTCACTCTTAAAGAGACACACAGTAAGAACAGGGCCCTACAGTGTGCTGCTGGATAGGGCCCTACAGTGTGCTGCTGGATAGGGCCCTATAGTGTGTGCCAACTGGAATGCACACAGATATCTTGCGGCCACACAAGGGAGCCTGATGTCAAGAGAGGTATACAGCCTGTGGCGGAGTGACACAAAGGAGCAGGACTGGGTCCTTACACTTTGAAGAGCTACTGCCAGCCCTTGTATCAAGGCCTGTGGGCTTCTTTGCTATATAAATCCTATTTCCAGCCAGTTTCACGGGGACCTCCTATGACAGCACATCAATGAGTCTGAAAATGTGGCTCCTGGACCCAGAGCCCAGCAGCTCCTGGGGAGCTGTTAGAAGTGCAAATGCTCACACCAGCCCCGGAACATGGGGCTCTCTGGATAAGCCAAGCTGTCTAGCTGTCTGTGATTCTGCAGGTGCAGACAAGGTTGAAAACTTATTGACCGACATTTTCTAGCCCTTTGACCCCATGCAAGCTATTTAAATTCTATAAACAAGGAATAACTGGGTTTAGCTGAAGGGGTTGATGGGAGGCGTAGCTAAAACAAGTCAGTGCACTTGAAGCTCCTAGCACCGCGTCAGGTACACATTAGACACTGCAGTTTGTGATTTGCTACTGCCACCACTACCACCTTTAATGTCAGCAGCCAAAGTCACACCAACTGAGGTCACCTCCTACCTCTTTTACATTTATCTTACACTCAGGAACCAGTCCTATGTTTTGGGGCTCCACAAGGACAATTATCTTTCTGGTTGGCATAAGGGTACGGCAAACAAGAGGGGCCAAAGGTGTTTCTTCTGCCTCCACACCATGGATTCCAGGCTCTCTACCCAGAACCTCGGCCACTGCAGGCCCAGCACATACCATGGGCACCCTAAGCTCAGGCACCAAGATGCAGAAGACTGAACACTGACCTGCCAGGTCCAGTAGGAAGAGATTCTTGTCAGGCTGCACCCAGAGCCTAGCTTGGAGCCATAGCTGGCCAGGGTTTCTTACTGTGGGTGTAATAGCACCGTGGGGCCACTCTGTGACAGGGAACAATGAGACAGCGATCTCTGGCCACCAACCCTTAGGGTGAGGAGTGACCAAAGGCCCCTTGCTTCTGAAAGGAAGCTATTAGATCAAACGTCATAAAACTCAATGTTAAACCATCCTTGATCCACAAATAGGCTTCTTTTTTTGTTGTTTTTTTTTTTTTTAAATTGTCCAACCGGGTACAAATCAGGAAAGTTTAGTACAACGTGAGGGACTGAAGACTAGCAAGAAACTGGGCCAATGGTGTCTCTGATGAGTTTCTTTTGGTTTCATGCAACTATGGCTACTATGTAATTTTTTTTTTTTTCCCTCGAGGGCAGGGTCCTGTTCCGCTGCCACCACAGGGCTTGCTACTATGTAAATTTTAATACAATTTAACAATCAACCCTGCAATGTCCTCAGCATCCTGGGTCCCGGGTGGTAAAGGGAGAGAACTGGCTCCCTAAAGAACCCACACCATGTGCCCCACAGTACACACACCACCCCCCCACACCCCACAAATGTAAAAGGTTTGAGAAAAACTCAAAGCTCAACATCATGGCATCTGTTTGTAGACACAGCACTTTTAAGTAGAGGCAGAAGGATAGAAGGCATTCCAGGTCAGTCTTGACTACAGTGAGTTCAAGGTCAGCCTGGGCTACATGAAACCCTGTACTCAACCAGAAACAGGGTTGCGGAGATAGTTGAGTAGATAAAGCAGCTGTCGTGGCTAGCGAGCACAAGGACTTCAGTTCCAGCCCCAGAACCCACTTCTGTAACCCTAGGAGAGGCAGACACACTGATCCCTGGAGCTCATGGCCATCCAACCTAGCCTACTTGTGAGTGCCTGGCCAGTAGGACCCCGCAGGGGTTGGGGAGTCGTCTGCATCTGATGTCTCACATGCAAGTGGGAGCGCACAGTCACACACAGGCCTGCACACACAAATACACACACAGTAATATTAAATACCAAATGCATGCTGCCAGCATTTGGGTTTTGCCAACCCTCAGATCCAACATGTCCACACTGAGAAACACACATATACATACCTGCCCCGTGCTGGCCACCCTGGGTATGGAGCTCCCAACAAGTGCCCTTGAAAGAGCAGGGGACAGAGTTAGAACCTAAGGGGCTGCAGGGCTTCCTATGCTCCCCTCCCCCCAGGGAGATGCAGAGCCTGATCTGGGACAAGGTTAGAGTAAAGAGAACAAAGGTTGCCAGCTCTCAGGCAGGATCTCAACACCTCCCTAAGACCTGCAGGAAACAAAGGGGCCCAACCGGCAGAAACTCCTCTGCCCACCCTCCAACAGTTTGTGCCCTTCTGCCTGCTGTTTCTAGGAAGGGATTTCATCACAGGCTGGGAAGTTATACCACCAAAGAGTGAAAGCTATAGGAGATTCCACGTGGTGTGCCTGCGGAACACAAGTTGGTTTCCAAGCATCATAAGCTGCTCCTCTCCTTCTTCGGTCAAAAAAACAGAACCAAAAGGGACATTTCCGGCCAGGCAGTAGTGGTGGCCCATGCCTTTATCCCAGTACACGGGAGGCAGAGGCAGGCGGATCTCTGTAGTTCAAGGCCAGCCTGGTCTCCAGAGGGAGTGCCAGGACAGGCTCCAAAGCTACACAAGGAAACTCTGTTTTATTTTGGAGGGGGTGGGGGGACGACCGACAC